ATATATGCAGCTAAATATGGTCGTCTTAATGGAACAGGGGCATGGGCACCTAAGACCACTGCTGATCCTCAAGACTACCTACAAATTGACCTACTAAATGAGTATGTTATCTGTGCTGTAGCTACCCAAGGAAACCCACCATCTCAATCCCCAAATGCTCAAGAATGGACCACAGAGTACAAACTAAGATTTTCTCTCAATGGTACCACTTTTTTCCCCTATATTGAAACTAAAATTGATAAGGTTTGTATGACATACTCTCTTATACAAGTATTCATAACAGCACAAGTTAGTACTAAACTAAAACTAATTAAAAGAATTACATATTTGCACCTCATGGCTAAAAATGTCATTTTGGCTAAAAATGTCACGTGCAAATATACAATTTCAAATAAATCAATACCAATGTTTTGCCACGGTTCGTCGCCATCACTGCATGTCCTGCTTGAGTGGTTCTGGTGAATTTCGCGGTTTCATTCCCTGGCATGTTTCACACATGTTGGCTATTTGCTTTATGTCAGAGGTCATGTTGGGCCAATACACTGTTCCTCTGGCTTGACGTAACATACTATCATGGCCTAGATGGGCACTGTGCAGTCTTCTCTTGATTGATGGTCTTAGAGCCATGGGAATCACAACTACTTTTCCTTTTACCAGAATTCCATCCACAACACTTAGACAGTCTTGCATATTAAAATATGGCAATGCGCACACAGGGGTTTGACGCTTATCTGCTGGCCATCCTTCCAACACTAACTTCATCACAGCCTGCAGACTAGAATCACATGAGGTCATATCACGTATCTCATCAAGTCGCTTGTCTAGGATGTCACCAAACACGTTGACATTCATGATTCGAGCACGGTCATCTTGGTCATTTCTGCTATTGTTTTGGTGAGCTCTACTCAGTGTGTCAGCTATGAGTAAGTCAGTACCCTTAACAAATGCAAAGTGGAATCCGTACCTTTGATATTGCATTATAATGTCCTGAAGACGCTTGGGTGTTTGGCTCAAAGGCTTTCGCAGTATGGCAGCAAGAGGGTTATGATCATTCTCAACTTTCACAGGACTGCCATGTTTGTACTGGTGAAATTTCTCAATGCCATACAAGACAGATAGGGCTTCCTTTTCGATCTGCGCCCAGTTTCTCTCCGAGGGTGTTAGTGCTCGCAGTGCATACTCTACAGGACGACCTTCTTGAAGCTGAACAGCAGCAATCCCATGTTTGCTACTGTCCACTTGAATCACAACTTCTTTTGAATCACCAAAGTAGCCCAGGCACGGTGATTCAGAAAGGTTTTCCTTTAGTATGTTCAAAGTATTCTCATATTCCGTCGACCACAAGAATGGAGTGTCCTTTCATGTTAGAGCAGGGATTGGTTCAAGTGTCCCGGGAAGGCAAGGCATGAACCTCGACATGTACTATACCATGCCACAAAGACGTTTTACACCCGCTACATCGGTAGGTGCAGTCATGTTGCTGATAGCTTGTAGTTTGGCCTCGTCAATTTTTATACCATCCTTTGTGATTCTGTGACCTTGGAAGATAATCTCAGTTCAACCAGTCTGCTGTTTGTCCTTGTTCAGGACAATGTTCTCCTCAACACACCTTTTGAAGGTTCCGTCAGCTTCCGTTGGTTGTTAATTTGAGCTTCCTCCACTGTCACGCCATACCCAGCTATGACTATATCATCAATAACACTGAACACACCTTCTAGACCTCCCAAAGCTTCATCAAGCTTGCACTGGAAGATCTCGCTAGATAGCTGGAGTCCAAAAGGGAGTGTCATCCACTGGTACCGGCCAAAAGGGGTGATCATTGTGGTGAGTTTGCTGGACTCTTTGTCTAATTTGATGTGCCAATAAGCTTCTCACACATCAAGCTTACTAAAAACTTTGGCATCCCTACGTTTGGGGAGCACATTGTCAAGTACTAGTAGTCTGTAATATTCGCCCTTGAGTGCTTCATTTAGTGGTTGCGGGTCAATGCATATGCATAATTTGCCACTGGGCTTGTGTACCAGAGCCATTTGGCTAACTCACTCGGTTGGTTCTGTCATAGGAACAAGCACACCTTTTTCTACCAGTTGATCCAATTCTTCTTTCATGGCATTTTCAATGGCAAGGGGAATATTTCTACATGGAAGTACTTTCAGTTGAACATTTTTATCAATCTGGAGAGTGGCTGCTCCCAGATCACCAAGTCGAGGGATGTTGATCAGAGAGATGAAGCATTCCTCATTTATAGTTATGAAACCAAGTGCCTTGGTGGTCTTAAGGCCTAGCAGGTTAATAAAACCATTTGGCACCACAATAGACTTTACATCGGACTCTTCCTTAGTACGGGGATTCACAACTCTTAGTACTGCTTCCCCCAGAGGCTTCAGGTTAGTTTTGTTCCACATATTCAGACATACAGTTATTAGAGACACTTGGTATTTCCTTATATGTATCTGACAAATGGTGTTGACATCAGCTGTGTTATCAAGTTGAAATCTGACGTCATGGTCATTCAGGGTTAAAATGGCAATAATACTATCTTCCTTATGGCTTACGGCCATGAGCCACCGGTCATCATGATCATCTTTACCACTTGGGGACTGCGACACTGCAGGTACTTTCTTGCATTTGGACTTAAATGATTTTGACCCTTGCACTTATCACTTGTTTTTTCCCATACAGGACATTTCTCTCTGTTTTTCTCATGTTTGTAACCTGCACAGAAATTACTGTTAAGTTTCGTACCTTCATTGTTTTTCTTCACATGTCTGTTGCCACCTTCAGGTTTGTTGTTACGGGGAACTCTCGGACCAGGTTTCTGAGCCACTTTGTTCACTTTTGCTGCTGAATTAGAGGGGTTTGAGCTGTCTCTAAACTGTTCAGAAGCCCCCTACAGACTTTCTCAGCTTTCTCAAGGGTCAAACCATCTACCCTAAGAAGTAACTCTTGAAGTTTTCCAATTACAATAAACACAATTTTATTTCTCATCATCCTGTCTTTTACCTGAAAGTTGCAGGACCCTACTTTCGTTTTGAGCTCCGTAAGGAAATAAATCAAACGGCTCTTGATATGGCGTGTTCCAAAACGTGTGCGAATCGAGGACTTCATTGTCTCTTGGATTACAGTAATTCTCTAAAGCTTCCAGTACTTTATCGGGCTTATGTTTGTCTTTGGCATTTAGACAAATGATGTTATCATAAACTTCTAACACTTGAGGACCCGCACAATTCAAAATGATTGCGGTTTGTACGTTTCCATCCTTCTCGGATGCAGCAGAAGCGGCTAAGTAGACCTCCATTTTGCGCTTCCATTGTTTGTAATTCTTGGATACCTTTCCCGAATTCACCTCTAGCGGGGGGCGGAATTCTAAACTGTCTGGAGTCTGATGTCGCCATTTGCTTAACTGAATCCCGACGCTGCCACCATGTTGATTTGTTTCGAGAGAAGGAAATGAGTTGCATGAGGAGAAATTTAACAGGAACGATAATTTTAATAGAACGCGATTGCTAACACATACATAGAGCACATGGAATAAATTAAAAGCTGACACAGAGTCGTGGTCGATCGTGCATGCAACGCGGGCGTACTTGCTAATACATCAACAATTATTATTAGCTTTGTATTGTATTTTATTATCCAACTACACTCCGTGGAATACAAATAATGCCCACGATGAGTACAAATATCAGGCAGAAATAACAATTTGGTTTGTTGGATAATAAATAACTTATTAGACGTTTTGTTGTGTTGTATCGCTGAGTTTTTTTTTAACTTATTTGTATTTTGACTTGCCCCACGGGCTCCTCAAAATATGGCACAACTCGTAAAAATACTCAGCGATACTATACAACAAAACGTCTGATAGTATGTATGTATTTGTGATGTTTAGGAAGTTTGGCCCATTTCAGGTCAGAGCTGGTTAAAATGGGGGCCTGTGTAAACTATGACGAGGCATGCAGACCACAACAATGGGAGCTACGTTCCCCACTTTATGTGATAAGTGTGTGGGGTTCTTTAACATCTTCTGATAATGATGAAGAGACTAGAATTTCTAACCATTTGCAGATGTCATAGCAAAGGCAGCACATTCACCTCATTTATTTCAAGATTTGATTCACACCGCACGAGCGCACCGCTGATTCATGATCAAGTACTGATCCCAAACTTTCATATTTTTCTACTAACCAGTACAGAGAAGATGCAGGAGATCAGGCCAATGGTTTTTCTTCCTTATCAGAGGAGACTAGAATGTCTAACCGTTTGTCATAGCGAAGGCAGCACATTCTTATAGGTCTGGTCTGGGGCTTGAGCTCTCGACCTCCCGCACAGCTGTCCGACGCTCTACAACGTGAGCTAACCAGGCGGCTAACATGCTCAATTCCTCAGGGCACACTAAATAAAGAGCTTTTGATACAATTCCTCACTCTTTACTATGAATGACTTGCAGAATTGTTTTAAAACCTCTTTATTTTCTAACAACACGTATGCAGACAATATGGACTTAACTTACAGTTAACCGGTTTCCTTTCTGCTCCTTACAGATTTTAATTTTGAGCTCTTTTCACAAATTACAGATTTTGAGTTGGCAAATAAAGGATTTTCTTTTAATAAAATACAGACTGGTACATTGCAAATTACAGATTATCATTTTGCAAACCAAAGATTTTTCAATTTGCAAATTGAAGAGTTTTTTTTGTAAATTAGAGATTTGTATTTCATCTCACAAATTACGGCAAACCGTTAATTATGCCAATTAATTTAAATATGATAATATCACCCCTTTTGTGTCACGTATTACAGGTCTTTACCGGAAATTCGGGAAAAACGGACAAAAGGAAGAACAGTCTGAAGGAATTTGCAAGTGCAAAGTTTATCCGCTTTCTGCCTACAAGTTATCATGGATTCAAGGTTCTGAGGGTGGAGGCTTATGGAATACTTTTGACTAAAGGTAATAATTTGTTCTCATTTTTGTCCCTCTGATACAAAGTGAAGTCCTAATAGCGAATCATTTGAGAAGGGCAAGATCGAGCAATTTTACAGAATTAAGGCAAATTTAAATATCCTCTAATACTAATTGTACTTTCGTTGAATGAGAATGATTTAAACACGAAGGCGCGCTATAAAAGTAGCCGTAGGTCCCAATGGACCATTTGTAAATCAACCGTCGTGTGATGCAGAACTCTTAGAGTTAAGTCAGCTTGAGCTACAGCTACTCCAAAGCAGTGAACAGCGGGCGCATTCCTCAAAATTGTTTTATGTCTTCATCATAATACAAGAATTTTTGAGATTTGTATTTCCGTTCTCCAACGGAAACTGTCTTTATTTGTGGCGGTAAATTTGAGATCGAAGTAGGTGGTTCGCACGTTACCTCATGCCACCATGCTGGTGGAAGTAAACAATAGATATCTCATTAGCTCCTTTTGTTCGTCTACCAGCATTTGAATTTGACCCGCACACGTCAACGGTGAGTGACAAATGAGCCTAGGTCTTCCCAGGGAAGACTTCCTTATATAGCGCGCCTTCGTGTTTAAAGAAGGACCTATATTTTAAAGCAGCATGAGGGTCAGAGAATTGGACAATCGACACCAACAAAACTAATTAAAGAGCGTGAAAATGTTTGAGTGGTTGTCTGTAAGATGGGATTGTTGGCGGTTTTGAGTTTTTATGTTGATTTTCTTTGTGTCTTTTTTGTGTTGATTAATAATTGAGAAAATCGTGGAACCTCTTTCTGAGAGAAGAGGTAACTGAGGGTGGTTAAATATTGCATATTTTTGGCCCTATGTATTTTAGAGCAGCATGAGCGTCAGAGAATTGAACAATCGACACCAACAAGACTAATTAAAGAGTGTGAAAATGTTTGAGTGGTTGTCTGTAAGATTGGATTGTTGGCTGTGTTGAGTTTTTATGTTGATTTTCTTTGTGTCTTTGTTTGTGTTGATTAATAATTGAGAAAATCATGGAACTTCTTTTTGAGAGAAGAGGTAACTGAGGGTGGTTAAATATTGCATATTTTTGGCCCTATGTATTTTAGAGCAGCATGCGTCAGTGGGGTTAACGAAATAATTTGAATATATCAACAAAGTTGAAATAGGAAAGTGGCCACCGTTACGATTTATAAAAGCTGACGTTTCGATCGTTAGCCTGTTGTTGGAGCGAATAGAGGAATTTAGGGTTGTGTATGCTTTTAAAGGCAGAAAATGGAGCTACGTTATTGGTGGAAATGTGGCAACGAGAAAAACACGAATAAATTAGTGGAATGAAAAGCGTTCGTTGATACCTGTGGGATTTAGACTTCCCGTTTGAAAGGTCAACTTTTGTTTAAGAGTTTTACGGGTTTGCGTGCTACCTAAACGTGAGGAAAGACCGCAGATTGCCATATGTTGCTTAGAATGATTAGGTAAATTAAAATGTCTAGGACTGGTTTCGATGTGTCCTTGTCATTCCTCTCCATGTCGCAAAGGTGTTCTCGGAATCGGTCACCTAGTCTTCTTCCTGTTTCGCCGATGTAAATCTTTTTGCAATAAGTGCAAGTTATGCAATAGATAACATTGGCAGAGGTGCACGTGAAGATATCAGTGATCTTAATGGATTGTTTGGGTCACTATAATTTTTCAGCGTTGTGAATGAAAGGACACGTTTTGCATCGTGCACGAGCGCATTTAAAAGTGCCTGGTTGGTCATTAGTCTGAAAAGAACTTCTGACCAAATAATTGCCTATGTTTTTGTCGCATTTGAATGAAATGAGCGGAGGCTGCGAAAAGATGGCACTTGTGTCTGGATCGTTTTGAAGTAATTTCAAGTTTTTAAGAATGATGGATTTAACTGAGTGGTTGTGAGGGTGAAACGTGAGAGTGAATGGAATGCGATCGGAATCTTTCTTTTTTGACGTTTGTAGTGCTGAATGTCGATCAATAAGTTGGCGTGGTAGTAACCCACTTTAACGACAGAATCAGGATAACCACGTTTATCAAAAAACTGGCACATTGACTCAGATTTGTGGTGGAAATCAGAGTCATCATTACATAAACGATGAAGTCCTAGAAACTGAGAAAAAGGAATGGAATTCTTAACGTGAGATGGATGCGAAGAAGAATACAAGAAATTATGCGAGTCTGTAGGTTTGTAATACACATTAGTGCATAAACCGTTGCCTTCAATGGAAACTTTGATGTCTAAAAAGCATAAAGAATTGTCACAAATTTCCCAGGAATATTTCAGAGCCGGATGAAGAGAATTGACTGCGGTTATGAAATGAGTCAGCTCCTCTCTGTTAGAGTAGGTGGCACCGATACAGTCGTCGATGTGTCGACCGTAGAATTCAGGTTTGGAGCCGTTGTATTGGCTGAAAAATTGGTGTTCCACAAAACCTACAAAAAAACTTGCATAGCTAGGTCCCATTTTGGTACCCATGGCTACACCATTGGTTTTTTTGAAAAAGTTGTCCCCAAATGAAAAAGATTTACATCGGCAAAACAGGCAGAAGACTAGGTGACCGATTCCGAGAACACCTTGCGACGGGGAGAGGAATGACAAAGACACATCGAAACTAGTCACTGGACATTTTAATTTACCTAATCATTCTAAGCAACATATTGCAATCTGCGGTCTTTCCTTACATTTAGGTAGCACGGAAAGCCGTAAAACTCTTGAACTAAAGCTCATCTTTCAAACCGGCAGTCTAAATCCCACAGGTATCAACGAACGCTTTTCATTCCACTAATTTATTTGTGTTTTTCTCGTTGCCATGTTGCCACCAATAGCGTAGCTCCATTTTCTGCCTTTAAAAGCGCACACAACCCCCAATTCCTCTATTCACTCCGACGAAGGGCTAACGCTCGAAACGTCAGCTTTTACAATCGTAATGGTGGCCAATTTACCATTTCAACTTTGTTGATATATTGAAATTATCTGTTTAGAGAAGAGGTAACTGAAGGTGGTTAAATATTGCATATTCGTGACCCTTGGTAGAGTGTAGCAAACTGTCTAATCTTCATTCTACAGATGTTAGGCAGAAGGAGAGCTGAGGCTCTAGTGTCCTAATTATGAATGCGACTATTTCTCTGAAATAATTTTAGGAAAGGTAAATTAGAATAATGAATGATGGTGATAAGAAAACATGAATTTTGCAATTGAGATTTTTAGTTGTGTAATACAGGTAGGGACACAAAAGGTGCATGGTGCTCAGAATTTGTTATGGTTCCCACAGCTGGTTTTTGGAAAAGACAGATACAGTTTTAGTTTTATATGTGAAGGACCAAACTATTGAACAAAAGTAGCCACATTTTTATGAAAATGAACGTCTTGTATTGTTAAATGAAGGATTGTCAGCCGAAAGGTTTAATAGGTTTGTAAAATTAAGGTGTCATTGTTAAATTTCACATCAGATGTTGTTTATTCCAGTTCCATCACGTCCTCCTACTGCCTTCAACTTGACTGCAAGCTCGTCTACCAGCGTCAAAGCTACCTGGCAATTACCTCCAGTCTTTGCCAGACATGGAGCCATTGTAGGGTTTAAACTGTTCTACAAAAAGAAAGGTTCTGATGAGCCAGCAAGAAATTTGACCATTAGAGGGGAATTAACATTGGATAAAGATGTCACTGGCCTTGATGAGTACACAGAATATGAATTTCAAGTCCTGGCTTATTCATCTGATGGTGATGGGCCAAATAGTTCTGTTGAGGTGGAAAGAACAATGGAAGATGGTATGGGACAGATCAGGAAGAATGATAATGTAATAGTGTTGGTTATGGTTTGTTGCATGTTCATCAAGAGTGTGCAGTTGAATACAGCCAAAGGTGTAAAGAAAAAATTACCATTCAGTCACTTTTGATAGGATCAGTCATTTGCTCTCCAAAAAAAAATACATAATTTAGTGACAAGATTTAACGCTCAGTATGTTAGAAATGTCTACCAATAAATAAAACTGATTAAAACACTATATCCAATTGCAGCTCCTTCACGACCTCCATCTAACTTTAGGATTAATGGAACCTCTTCTACAAGTGTTACAGCATCTTGGCAGTTACCACCAAAAAATTATAGAAATGGAATAATCAGAGGATTTAAATTGTTTTACAAAAAGAAAGCCTCTTCAGGGTCTGGAACCATCCTTTCTATTAACAGTGAAGCAGTTTTAGACAAAGTTGTCACTGGGCTTGATATTTACACTGAATATGAATTTCAAGTGTTGGCTTTCACTTCTGCTGGTGATGGAGTGAACAGCTCTCTGGTTGTTGAGAGAACAGGAGAGGATGGTTAGACCAGTTTCTTTTTCTTGTTTTTCATAAAATTGCATCATGTCAAAAAAACCATGATTTAATTTTAGTGTTAAGACTGGTGAATGATGACAATTCTATTTTGTTTTGTTATTGGTAGTGTCCCATATGAATTGAGAACCCATTGATGCACCTTAACTGTATAGAAGATTCATACTAAATTTGGATGAGAGTGCATGACAACTTTTTTCGATTTTCTCCCAGACCATCATTTTTTGGACCCAACTGATTTTTAGATCAACTTTGTTTTCCCCATCTGAGGAGACATCCAATTTCCAGTCTATTGAAAATGCTGTCATGGCAGTTAATGTCAATGAATTACACGGAACTCAGATTAAATAATACACTTTGAAAGTAGACCACAATTGAATTGGGTTAATCATGTAGAAAATGATACTTTTTCAAAAGATGTTTGCATGATCGAGCACCTGGATAAGAGGCAAAATTGTTTCTAATTTCTAGATGACGAGGGAAAGGTGATGATGGTAAATATATTTATTATTATGACTATTATCCTAATGTAAATCTATCCTCCCGATTGCAGTTCCTTCAAGGCCTCCTGATGGCTTTACTCTGAATGTAACCTCTTCTATCAGTATTATAGCATCCTGGCAGTTACCACCAAAAAACTCCAGAAATGGAATAATTCGAGGATTCAAATTATACTACAAAAAGAAAGGCTCGTCAGGGGCAGGAAGAATGCAGTCCATTAACAATCAAGCAACTCACAATAAAGTGGTCACTGGGCTTGAAAAATACACAGAGTATGAATTTCAAGTACTGGCATTCACTTCTGTTGGGGATGGACCAAAAAGTTCTGTTAAAATTAGTAGGACAAAAGAAGATGGTAAGAAAATTAGAAGATTAATAATGTTGCTTATACACTAAGTTGAATAGTCATTGTATATATAATCATATGTATATAGACAACCAAAGGAGGCTGATGAGAAGTAGGATCCTTTAGTATGACCTCTTTCAGTAGTAATCAAAGTGATCCCGATCCTGAAATGATCCCTTGCCCTGAAATAATTACCAAATCAATCCCGAAATGATCCCAGCCCCCAAAGTGATCCCCCATTTCTTCTTGCTGACTCTGAAATGATCCCTAAGTAAGTTATGGAATGGCGATTCAGCATGAGACAGTGGGTCCTACAATGATGATGTTAATGAATAAGGATAGTGAGCAATTTTCAGTCACAAAAGGTGTAAAGGCTATCAAGCGATCATTTAAGTGTCATTGTCAGAGAAAACCAGGCAGGAACAAAAGTTCGAAGTCGGCGTTTGACCTCCACCTTTTTACCATAGAAAAGCTACCTGAAAAGATTATCAACGGTGGTATTTTCAGAAGTAGGTGGGTTTTTTATTTCTGTAATCAGGGCTCTCCACGGGCATAAAATGGCTTTATTTTCAGCCAACTTTCGTTGACCCTATGTGAAAGAGCGTTAAGTGAGAAAAACTTGCCATAGGTTTTTCACACCTTCAATCCACAATGAAGTGATTGAAGTCTAACAATCTTTCTTTTGCCAAACGCTATGTTTTCAATGTCGCACTTAATATTAGCACTGAATTGATAACGAATGTGAGCCAAATTTTTGCCATTTTTGCAGTGCTGTTTGTCAAACGTGCGTGGTTTACTTTTAAAGAAAATTATTGTATAAATAGCCTGTTGTACCTTTATTAAAATACAGCAAACTTAAAACTGGTATCTCAAAGTAAATCGCTAAGGCCGACGTTGAAAGTTACATGGAAATGCCATTCAGCAAAAATTTTTCCCGCCAAATTTTGAGAGAAGAAATAATATACAGATTTATTTTTTCCTGGACGGTAAGTCTAAAATTTACTAGACAGTGTTCAGCAAAGGTAATCAGGTTGTTTAGTTACCGGTGGAGAGTATTTACTTCTAAATATCGACATAAGTAAGCGTTTAAACACTTGAAACATGAAACACCCCTTATACAAAACTGATTTTTTTCCCTGCTAAAAATAATTTATGTGGCACGCGGCAGGGAATCCCCGCGCATTTATTCTCCGTAGAGTTTGACCGTCACAAGCATAAGAAAAACCATTCAAAGCTAATAATATGAGGGTGATCTGAAAAACTGTGTCATTTCAGTATGGTAAAAATATAAATATAACAGACTAGCCGTCTTGTTTACATCTGTAGTGGTGCTAACTGTTATGAACTATTTTTAATCCGTGATTTTTTCACTTGCTTTTACCTCATAATAAATGTAATGCCCAAATGTAAGTCTTCACGCTCTATCAAACACAGAGTTTTTACACTTAAAATTAAGTATCGTTATAATTTGTTTTTCTATTGTTTTTTGGAAGAAGAAAATCAGTCTGTGTCGATTGTTAAAGCGTAACAAAGATTTCACTACGGACTAGCCTGGCAGTAAAAGTGACATTGTCGTTAATAACAGATGACACATCAAGAAAGGTTCCTATTGTTGCAAGTGAGTTCACCCAATATCTTTAGTTAAAGTTTCCAAGGCCACGTGCTTCATAAAAGGTTTTTCGCATATTTCATTCACAACGGCACCTCTAATAAGTCCGTTATACTAGCTAATCAGACACCGTCAACAACAAAGGGAATCGGGATTTTTTTTTCCCATTGGAAGCAAACTGCTTGCAAACAGAATAAAGCAAGACTTAAAATGCTTTCTACTGTCTGGTTGATATCACATTTTAACTCTGAAAATACGAAAATAAATTGTAAGGTAAAACTCAATGTTTCTTCTGATTGTAAACAAAGTATTTACTGCTTAGGGCTATTTCGAAAGACGCCACAGGTCTCCATTGCTGGCTGCGCCATAATCCGTAATATTTAAGCATATATTGCAAAAAATCAAGAAAGTGATTCGTAGAATTAACGATGGCATTCGCGTTAACGCTTATTTTCCGCACGCGTGAAACAGGTGCAACATTTAGCTTACGAATTTAAGGATTCGATGAATGATTTCTTTCTCGCTAGTGAACCTGAGACCTCTAATTGAAGACTTTCGCACATTTCCCTCAGCTCAACTACTTTCATTATGTTGTTTTTCTTCACTTTTGAAATTTCGTACAAGTTCCGCCTATTTCGGACGACAATAGGGTGCTGAGGCGCAGTCACTTGAAGGTTTACTGCTATACGTAGATTCTCAAGCGCAATTTCATTTTCTAACGCTTCTAAATCTGGATCCTCCTCCGTAAATTCCTGGCTCGTAGCAATTTCACTCGTATCTTTTTCCATTTGTGTCTGTCGCTGGACTACTGATAGCCATGAGAAGAAATTATTTGTTTGCTGTGCTGTTCTCCATTCCTGTGGGGTGAACAGCAAATGTCCAGCACCGTCCTTAACAATTTTCATTTCTCGAGCGACCTGAACCGGATCTTCCCTTTGGCCAGTTCTGCAGCCTGTGTCAAACTTCTGAAACAAATACCCTTCTACATGAGCCTCCATTCTCGACGGCTTCTTTTCCGTTTGAAGTGCCCATTCCATTGGCTGTTGATCTTTTTTGCTCGAAGAGGGATATGAAAAGTCTAGTTCTTCTCCGGAGTAAGTTCCAGTTTCATGAAAGCCGGCTACATTAACGCCAGTAAGCCTCTCGGCCCACTTTTTTATGACGATATCATAGAGGGACTCCGATTCCAACTCTCTTACGTGTTTTCCTAAATCGATGTGCTGTTCAACCTCTTCGACTGTTGTAAAACTGAGAACACATCCAGTTTCCGTGCACGGGAAAATTTCAGTGAGAGGCCGAGTGTTTTCTGCAATAGTACCTCGTTCTTTCGTTCTGGCACCAAAAGTCTGAATTATTTTCAGTCCAGTGTCCCCTTGCCTTTTGATAATTACTTTGTCATACGGAATGAAACAACCTGGACCAACATTGTAAGCTTTCCAAGCATGGACTCCCCTTTCCTCAAATAAGAAGTTGTTCAGAAGGCTAATTCCAGGCATTTTGTTTTCCACGCCAACCGACTTAGGGGTACCAACTTGTACAACAGCTACTCTACAGCCTTTGAGGCCACCGTGGGATTCTAAAACCTCTTTCATATTTTCTGCAGTTATCATCTCATGCTTCTCATTCACCCATCTCTTGGTGTGAGCTTTTATGGGAGCAGTTTTCCGGTCGCAAATATCTTTTCCGGCTTCGGGGTCGGAAAAGTCGTAGCGTAATGGGTATTACACCAGATCCTGTCCCGATGTACGGAAGGCTGAGGATCAAGGGCCCACTGAGATCACAAACAGCGTTTTCTGATCGTAAAAAAGCTCTGTTAATCGAAGGATACTCAATCTTGATGGTGTTGAGTAGATGCTCAATGACTGACATAACAGCCAAGCTGTTTTGCTTGCAAGTGTTGAAAGAGATGCACAAAGCTTTCAACTTGACATTTGCCCTCCTCTTGTGAGTGTGTTATGACAGCACTAATATGCCAGCTCCTACCCCGTTTGCCAAAGAACTCAGACATCTGCTCCCTGTAGTGCTGCGGCAGATATCTCATCGCCCAGTCCACAATAATCAAGTTTGTTTCTTTGTCAAGCTGAGTGAGAGCACTCTGTTTTGCTTCTTCCTGATTAACAGAACGAAGTAAATGTGCTTTCCAGGCTTGAACTGCTCGAGAGTTCTTATCGTCGAAGTTTATTCTTGCTCTCGTTTCGTCGCTGCTGACTAAGTCATCAATCCTCTTTAGTGTGTCGCGGAAATTCGAATCAAGAGAGTCACATCTATCACAGTGAATGTCATGGGAGTGTGGACATTCTTCACAGAAGTCAGGATTATCCGGGTCGCTTGTGGCATGTACGGTACAATGGTCGCTGTTGTTTTCGTTTCTACCCACGTGCGTCGAATTTTATAGTCCATCTTCAAATATTTTTTTTGCCTCTTTCAAGTCTCGTTGCATTGCTTCAGCCCAATGCTCCTCTGCCCCGTTTTCCACTTAAGTGTCGACGACTGCGCGCAGGTTGTCAAATGCTTCAGTCTCTTCTGCTGTGATATTATCAAGCCCATGCAGGGACCTCTGCATCGACGCTGAGTAAATGTAGAGCATTGTAAACAGAGAACGTGTGCTTGCCGGCTCAAACTGCTGCTCTCTTCAGTAGCTTGTGTACTGTTCGATAATTCTGGAGGGAATCAAGGTCCGCACAACAGCTGGAATTATAATGCGTTCGCCAGAGTCAAGCTTAAGGAGTTTTTGTTCCAAATGCAGCATCTTGATGCAGCTGTGGTTGTGAAATATAGCTTATGAAATGATCAACTTTTCCCTGATCAATTCTTTTTCGGAAGATTGTTTGTTCGGGAACGACTTGTCCTTTTCCTGCCTCAGTGGCATGCTGACGAGCCTGGTCAATTCTCCACTTAGTTAAACCAGGGATTAACGTTTGCAATTCTCTGCGGCTAAAGTCATTTGCGAAAAGAGATAGGATCTGGCGTTTAGTTTGCCACGACTCCGCTTGATCATAAGCTTTGATCAAGACATGAATGAGCTCAGTGTTTGTGTCAAAATGCTTTCTTTTGGATGAGCTACTCTCGTCCCTCTCGGTTATGTCTAAATCATTTTGGATACATTTCCAAAGGTCTTTTTCTTCCCCAAGACTAATGGCTGACGGCGCAACTGCAACAGCTTCCCTGGCCTTGCGAATTTAGTCCTTTTGCTGGGTAGACGAGATATCGTCCCATGAGGCATTTAAAGTAGAAAGGATGGGACTAAAGCGTCTACTTGTCAGGTTTCCCAGGGCATCGTTCAGTGCCTGTCGTCTCTGACTTTGGATTTCCTTCTCGTCACACCAAATGCTTACTTCTTCCTCAGGACCGCTGATTTGAGAGACCTGAGACAACAGAGTCTCGTCTGTGTCTTCGCTAT